AAGTGGGGCCTCCTGGTTTGCTGCATCAGGACTTGGGCGAGTCTGTAATAGGAGAAACCAAAGATAGGACCTAAACTAGGAAGGAGCTGGCGACAGGTTGAGAACTTCTAGACACTCTTCCGGGCTGCGTAGCAGTATCACCCTTACCCCATCTCTTCCCGTTAGTTACCAGGACCTATGTGACATCTTTCCCATCGAGAACGCGATTGCTGTTACCCTTCCCGTTTGACAGCTGAGTAAAAGTCTCAGAGAAGCCAGAGTTAACCGCAGTCTAGGCGATTACAAAGTTTGTTTACAGGGTTTTGTGATGAACCAAGTAAAAACCTTACGGATAGTGTTTAGCACAGTACCCGCCACACTGTGGCGCCCTCAAGGGGTTACTGTGCTGCCACTTATATTTTTAAAGCAATTTTTGAAACCGCTTTGGTCTTCATATGGCTGCATAGAATTTTGCCTGAGTTCCGGAAAGATGTCATGAGGACACAGGTTGAGGCTGACACAAGATCAACCCGAGTTGGAATCCAGACAGCCTTTAGTTGCTGTGCGAGCATGGGCTAGTTATTTTGCTTCAGCCTCTGTGTCATAGTAAATGAAATAATGTAAGTCAAGCATATGAACAAAAGCAGCTTTTTAAAAAATGCACAGTAGTTTATTACTTTGGTACAGATATTGGCATGGGTGAAGAGACCAGCTTTTGCATTTAAGCAGGACTAAAGGAAAAAAGGTGATTTTAAAAGGTAATGGTTTTTTTTTTTTTAACGCATCTTTGATGAATCCGGATTTTTTTCATCTCTAGGAAACTACTTGAAATATATTTTTTAAAAGTTTGAGGATAACTATCTATAAAATAACATAGTAATTATAGTTATGTAGAGAACAGGGTATGTGTAAAAAAAAAAAACCTCTGCAGATTGGGCTGCCACCTTGAAATAGTATGATTGTGGTCACTGACTTGTGGTCCCCAACCTGACCCTATGAAAATCAGTTTTATTTTCTTACCTTTCAAAATTACAAAAACACAGGTTTTAAGCCTAATATTCGAAGTCCTGAGGATTTTCCTCAGTTTTACTTCATAAACTGGAAAGCACCTCAGTACTTCTTCCCAAGTGTGCTGCTCTAGACTGTTCTGTGTATCTATTCTGGACAAAGGGTCCGTGTTTCTGAGTATTGACCCCATACATGTAAATATTTCTTATAGCAAAATACTGTATTCAAGAGTCTAATATCCAGTATTATTGGAATGAATTGAAGAGACACATCCTCTTGGTCATGTGTCAGTCAAATATGCCATCACTACTATACTATATTTATATTCAAGTTGAAACTATAGTATTTTCTTTCTTCTTTAAATGTTAATGCATCCTAGTACTCTTTATTCAGCAATATACAGAGGGGGGACTTGGATTACCAGATACACGCTAATAATACTCTTCTTCCCTCTCTTCCAAACCACTTGAAAACACGTGTGTTTCAACTTTCATACTGCCTGTTTAACCCCCAGAATTTACCTTTCTAATCTGACGAGTGACCCTTTGTTCCTATACACCAAAAAAATTCTCCGGAAGTGTTCAGTTCCTTGTTTTTAGTGTATTCCCTACTGCACAGCCATTATCACATTCTCCCCTTCCTGTTTAACTGCTTTTTTGTTTCAGCTGCTGGTTGTTGGAGGTTCTTTTGGTCTCCGTGAGTTCTCACAAATCCGATATGATGCTGTGAAGATGAAAGTAAGAACTATATTGGAATCTGACTTACACCTGTATATATATGTGCTCAGTTACTGTCTCATTGCTGTCTCTTATTTTAAAGACAAAATACCCGACACCCAAAGTTAAAGGAGGAAAGGTTTATTTGGCTCATAGTTTGTAGAGGTTTCAGTTCATAATCAGCTGGCTCCAAGGCAGGAGGCTATCCTAGAGGAAAATAGTTCATGGCACCAAGACAGGAAAAGCAACAAAGGAGAGATGAGACTTTCTGTCCCTTATATTGTTTGCAGGCTCCCAGGGTCACTGTAGTGCTCACACCTTTAATCCTAGCCAGAACTATGCCAAACCAATCAGTGGACTGATTTATTAATCAGACACCCTTAATCCCAGCATCACACACTCTAGATTCAGCCACCTCCAAAAAAACCCCATCTAAAACTGCATGCGGCTTTGGAAGAACATCTAGACACAAACCATAACAGTATATTTTGGTTTAGTATACTTAGCAGTCTGAGTTTGTCTTGTTTTTCAAGATTAATATACAACCTTTTGTACTCTTATTCTTTAAAACAGATTAATGATCACATGGAAGCAAATCATGTAAAGAATTTAGTAATGCTTCTCTTCATTCACTAGGAAATGTGCAATTTTGTAGGCTTTCTTTCATAAAACATTCTCCAGTATAATTGACATGAGAATTCAGAAGAATCTAAAGAATGTGAGTCAACAATTTTACTTCATTTTATTTCTCCAATTATGAACTAGCTATTTCATTTTACTACCAGTTTTTCAAATTATGTTGGTATATGTCTTTAGAACTGATACTAAAAAGACAGAAGATTTTTGTTATAAAGATACTATCTTATGGTAGGACTATACTAGTTCCTTCATCGTACAGGTGAGGAACCAGGTTCAGAAAGCTTGTGTATCTTGCCCATGGTCATGTGGCTATTTAGAGGTAGGACTAAGATTCTCACTCTTTGTGATTACACATTTACTGTCCAATTTGTGCCAAGCATTACATAAAAACTGTTTCATTCACTGAGAGGTATGTAGCTTTTGTTTGTACCACATACCTAATACCTGGAGTTTTTCCAGGTTTATCATCATCAGACCTCAGTAATATTTCTGGGAAAGTAAAGGGTAGAAAGGTGATTCAGTTTGCACATAATTTTGTGGTTTGAGAAAAGCCAGCCCCAGCTAGTCTTAAACATAGATAGGAATTAGAGTGAATATTGTATTTTTTTAAATATGTCGTTTTTATAAAGTTATAGAATAATTTTTAATTAACTGACTAATTCCAGCTAGTTAATTTTCAGTTTACTAACAATTTGTAGTTTAACTATGTTAAAAGGTTTCATTTAGCATCCCAATTGCTTTATCAAGGTGATGGGGGTGGGGTGGGGATGTTGGGATAAGAGCTGAAAGCAGCTGCTTTTAGTTTTTAGCTTGACAAAGATAGGGCTTATCTCCCATCCCTGAGGGGCATTGCTCTTTTGTTCCCCTGGATACTCCTGCTAACGTCCATGGATCTACAATCCTGGATTACCCATTATTGCATCACACCAACTGATTTAAGTGTGGAATTTAAGTATGTTGCACTTCTGAACAGCAACAATCTGTGGCTGTGCCTCTAATGCTTTGTAACATGGTTGTGCTAGTTTAATTTTTGAATATGACAGATAGTATGACCATGTTTTCTAAGATTCAGTAATGAAAATGAGAACAATTACTTTTAATTAAGTTTAACACTTCATTTTAAAAATTTTTCTATTTTCTCCCACTTTTTTGCTTTAATTTTTATATTTTATATTGTTTTATCTCCTAGTTATTAAATCTACTTTTGCTATGTCCAGTCTATTATTAAAGCCACCTTTTGACTTTGTGATTTACTGTATATTTTTTTACTACTTAACTGTACATTTAGTTTTTCATTATGTATTCTAGTAGAGAAATTTTCCATGCTATCATAATTTTATACATTTTTTCTGTATATATATATATATATGGGATATACATATATATGTGTGTGTATGTATGTATATATATATATAGTCTTAATTTTTTCTCTTGTCTTTCTGTGTTTGAATACATCTCGTAGCTTTTTAACTTAAATGTTGGACACTATAAATAACTGAGGTTACAGATAGTACTGTTTTTCTCCACAAAGAGTGTGCTTTTTGTTATGTTTTATTGGGCACATAGAGTGAGTAGCTCTTCCCTTTAATATCTGGAGGTGGGCTGGTCATGGCTTGGTTATAGTTTAAGTGAGAATTATTTTGTCTCTGCTTCTTCCTTATGGCTTTCATTTGGGACTCCTAGAAATTTAGCTGCACTTTTCAGAGATTTTTTTTCAGCCTAGCTGTATATTCTTATGTAAACTATAGGAACTGCTTTGAGGAAGATTACTTGTTATATGGCCTTTAATCTCAGACTTTTTCATTGTAGCCCAATGTGATGATTTCTCTAACACCCAGTAGCACCCGCCTACCTGGCTTCTAGCCTTGGTTCTGATTCTGTATCTGTGCCAGGTTTGTCAAGTGCACCCTCGAGAGGAATGTGGACTGTTATCTCTGATTTTCAGCTATTGTAGAAGCTCCTTCTAGTGAGTCTTATCTCTTAACCCCTAAAAGACTGCAGGTACTAGGATTTTGTTTTGTTTTGTTTCGTTTTGTAAATTACCTTGATATCATTGGACACATTTTTAATTTTATTTTATACACAAAAGGAAGACACAGGAAGATAATCAAAAAGTTGTGCAGTGGAATAGTATCTTAGGTTTTGTTTTAATGTATGGAAATAATGCAGAAATTAAACACAATCGAAGTTAGCACTGACTTAATTTTGGAACCACAAATAGACATATGTTGGAACTTTTGATTCTAACTTTTATTGTACATCTTTCATTCATTTCATTTTTATCTCCTAAATCATCATTGTAGTGGAATCTTCTGGTTATATTTCTCATTTACTTCTTTCTTATTCCATTCAGTCACTTGCTATCCAATGTTCCATTTAATTTGTTGTTGTTGTTTGTTTCAGTAATCACATTCTTCTTTCCTAAAGACTTTGGCGTAAAAGGTAACATCAGCTCCCACTAACATCATTTTCATGGAATTTCCTTTATTTCTTACCTGTGGAAGGTGTTCTTTTAGTTTTTAAGTGTGGTATTATATTTATTAGCATCATTAATGTTATTACTGTACAGTATAATTTAGATTGGTTAATAGTGTGGCCTTTGAGGTCAGAGCACTAGCACTCAAAAGCATGTCCTACCTCTTTAACAAGTTGTTCAAACACATTATGTTCTATTTTCCTTACATGTCATAATAGAGATAAAAATAATACCTCTTAGATTTTGTGAGGATTAAATAAGATGATATATGTCAGAATGCCTGACATATAATAAGTGCTCAATAGATACTAGCTGCTTTTAGTTGTAGTGGTGGTAGTGCATTAGTTACTTTTATCTGATTGAAGTGGAGATTTGCTGACTTAGTTACTTTCTTGTTGCTGGGACAAAATATCCAACACCCACAAGTTAAAGGAGGAAAGATTTATTTTAGTCATAGTTTGTACAGGTTTCAGTCTTTTTTTTTTTTTTTTTTTTTTTTTTTATAGGTTTTTTTCTTTTTTTTTTTTTTTTTTTTTTTTTTTTTTGGTTTTTCTCCAGTACCGGGAACCAAACTCACGACCTTGTGCTTGCCAGGCAGGCGCTTTTGCCACTGAGCTAAATCCCCAGCCCCAGGGTTTCAGTCTTTAGTCACCTGGTTCCAAGGCAGGGCGATATGGTAGAAGGGCATAACAAGGGAGAAGCAATTCGTGGTGTGACAGCCAGGAAGCAGCGAGGCTTCCTCCTTTCCATTTTTATTCCATCTAGGCTGCAAACCTACTTTTTGGTTAGCACCATCCACACTCACGGTGGGTCTTCTCTCTTCAGTAAATTCATCATCAGCACTGAGAATGATGCTAAAACAATCTGTGGGCTAATCCAATATCATACCTATGATCCAATCACTCCCAAAAGCCCCCACGTATGAGAGTATGAAGACTTGGAGTGTGTCTTAGTTTCTTGTCTCTCATTGCTGAGACAAAATACCCTACACCCAAAGTTAAAGGAGGAAAGATTTATTTAGCTCACAGTCTGTAGAAGTTTCAGTCTGTAATCAGCTGGCTCCAAGGCAGGGTGGCACATGGTTAGGACCAACAGCTCATGGCAGCAAAAGACAGCAAAAGCAACAAGAGAATGAGAAGAAGGACAAGCCCCTTTCTGTCAGTTATACTGTATGAAGGCTACTCACCCTAGGGCGGTTGTAGCACTTACACTCTTAATCTCAACACTGAACCATGAATTAATCACAAACTCTAGATTCAGCCACCTCTGAAAAGACTGACACCCGTGACCTCATGAGGCTTTGGGGGGACATCGAGACACAAACCATAATAGGGGGACATCTAGATATAAGCCATAATATTTGATCTTTGGCTCTTCAAAAGATTCATGTACATCCTTTTATGCAAAATGTTTTTGGTCCATCTCTAAGAAATGCTAGTGTCCTGACAGTTTTAGCATTGTTGGGAAGTGCAAGTCCAAATTCTCTGAGATTTAAGGAAGACTTAGCTGCAAGCCCCAGTAAAAATGAAAAGAAAGTTAAACACTCCAACATTCAATGGCACAAGATAAACATTCCCATTCCAAAAGGTAGAAACAGGGAAACACAAAGGAATGGGACCAAAGCAAGGCCAAAATGCAGCAGGGCAAACATTATATCCCAGCATTCCCCAGGCCAACTTGTTGCAAGATGTGAACTCCAAAGGGCTTGTGTGGCTCCCCCCCTATATCACTGCTGCTGATCAGAGTCCTCATAGCCTCTTTCTTGTTCACTTGTGTCTTTCTTCAGATGACCCACATTCCTGGCTTTTCCAAACTTATGGGGTCTCCACTGCACTTTGGCTTCACACTCATAGCTTCACACACTGCTCTGTCAGGGACACACTGCCTCGTCTCCTAGGCCTTCTTGTAAAATCTGGTAGAAGTCTTCCTGACCCTACCTCTCTTGTATTTTGCATGCACCTAAAACCTGCACAATGAGATAAAGCCCAGGTCTGCTGCCTGCTGGAGCAGTAACCAGCTTTCCTTCTCTATTGGCTATAGCAGTCAAGTGCTGAGCACTATGAACCCAATCTTAAGGAACAAATCACCACCATTCTGGAACATGGTACCTGGGGGCTCTCTTGTCAGTGCAGTCCTTCCAGTTTTGAGGCTGCAAAGGATGAAGTTGTTGTGATACCTCAGTCTGTCTTTATTGGCCTCTTCTGAAGTACTTTGCTTTTTAATGCTAATCTTTTCAGCAACTAAGTTCTCCTCTGCTCTTCTTTGCATGTCACAACTTTATTGGAGCTTCCTTTCTGGTTAGACTCAAACTTTTTAAATCATTGTTCTGTGTTGTTTGCTCTTGAATCTCAAGATACAATTAGACAAAAGCTCCCAAAAGAAGCCATGCCACTGCCTCAACATTAGACTTTCTTCCACCAGATTAATTAGTCCATTGCCCTTAATCTCACTCTCCTGCAGTGTCTCTGGACATAGGCAAAATGTAGACAAATCTGCCAAAGCATGGCATGGCCTGGAGTCCAACTGCCAATAGAGTCTTTCTCAACTAAAACCTCTTGAGCCTGGTTTTTTCCTTCTGCATCACTGTCAACATTCTGGTTTTCAGAGGTTTTACCAGAATCTCCCAACAAGCTTGGCTTACAACACTCTAGGGCTGCTTCTATAACTGGCTTCTCTAAAACTTTCCAAACTCCTCCCACAAGCCATTTCCAAAGGTTTCTGAACCATGAAGTCAGGTAGCTTCACAGCAGTGGCCCTACTCCTGGTATCAAAATCTTTCTTAATTACTTTCTCATTGCTGGGACAAAATACCCAACACCCACAAGTTAAAGGAAGAAGAGTTTTAGTTTGTAGAGGTTTCAGTTCATAGGTGATTCCTAGGCAGGGCAGCCTGACAAGGAGTCATAACAGAGGAGAAACAGTTCAAGGCATGGCAAGCAGGAGGCAGCAAGCATTTTTCCTTTCCCTTCTTATTCTATCCAGGCTATAAGCCTATTGGTTGGTACCACCTATACCCAGGGTGGGTCTTCCCTTTTAAGTTCATCGTCTACACTTAGAAAAATGCTACACCAATCAATGAATTAATCCAGTATCACATACCCATGATAAAGTCATTCCCAAAAATCACACCTATGAGCACCTGAGGCTTTGGGGGCACCTCTAGATAGAAGCATAACATTTGCCATGTATTTTAAATTGGCCATAGTAGCCCAGCTATCCCTTCTATAACTTTTAAAGTAGAAAATTGAATATAAGAAATTTGAATAACTTACCTTTCCTCTTTCTTTTCTGCAGATTGATCCTGAATTGGAAAAAAAGCTGAAAATGAATAAAATATCTTTAGAGTCAGAATATGAGGTATGATGTTAATAGCCTATGTTTTGTAACAGTCTTACTGGTCATGACTGGTTCTCTCTGCCTTAAGATAAATTAGTATTGAGAAAAATTAGTTGTTTTAAATATATGGTATTGATAAACTACAGATTAAATATCTGTTATCTGAAATACTTGGTATCAGAAGTGTTTCAGATTTTGGAGTTTTTCAGTTGGACTTTACCAGTTAAGCATCCTTAATCTGAAAACCTAAAATAATACCAAAAATTGTGTTGTTGTTGTTATTGTTGTTGTTTTCTTTTTGTGGTGCTGAGGATTGAACCCATGGCCTTGCCCAAGCTAGGTAATTCTCTACCTCTGAGCTACACTATCTAGCCCAAAATCTGAAATTTTTGAGCATCATGTCAGCACTTAAGAAGTTTCAGATATCAGATTTTTTTAAGGATACTCAGTCTGTATATAGTTATTTGAAAAGAAAATGAAGATGGATTCATATTTCATGTACCATGAATAAATAAATTCCACGTGGAGCAAGAATCTAAAATTAAGCAAATTTTAGTACACTAAATGTATTAAGAGGGAGAAATTGCAGATTTTTTTATAGTATTAAGTCAGAGAAGCCTATTTAAATATGATATAAAACCCAGAAGCTGTAAAAGTGAAGATGTATGAGTTTATACATTAAAAATCCAAAAGTCTAGCCTAAAAAAATTCTAGATTAAGTCACAAGTTAAATGAGAAATCCTAAAAATATATATCTTATCGTGGGTAATTAGTTAATTTAAATATGAAGAACATTACAAGTCATTATGAAAAAGGTCAACAAATCATTTGGGCAGTAGGAATGTGGTCAAAACATGTAAGAGTTTAGAGGAAAAAAAAGTAATATTCTGAAACATATAAAGAAATGCTCAACTTATCAAATAGGAATGTGTGCTCAAAATTATAGCAAGGTGTCATTTTCTGCCAATCTGATTAGCAAAAATCAAAAAGCTTAATAGCACATTGTGTTGTAGGGTGCGGTGAGCACACATCCTATAATACATAAAAAATATAAATGTTCTCCATTTATATTTTATTCATTTTTTAGATATTAAAAGCAATATTTATTTTCCTAAATTGGTGGTATAATTACTTCTACCCTTATAACAAATATTATATTTTTAGTCATTTGATACTGCTTTGGTTTTTATTCTTATTTTAAAGAGAAAAGAACAAAAGCACAGACAAAAACAAAAACCGAACAACACAAAAACTATAAAAATGATACAGAATTTTGACTGAATCATATTTTCCTGTTGCTTTATATGTCTGACCATTTTTTATTGAAAGTTGGATATGACAAGTAATACACTGAAGAGATTTCTGAAAAGTGTTGATTTTCATTTTGCCTGACAGTTACGTTATTGGCTGCTCATTTTGAACTTGGTTTTGTTCTTTGAAAGGGAGAACGTGTGGAAAGGCTGTGGCGAGTCCTAGATTGCTATAACTTGATGTTTCACTCACTCTTCAAACTATCTCCCCAGAAAAGCTTGGGAGGGCTTGGTTTTAAATTTTTTTGGAGTCTAAAGTAGATATTCTTCTCAAGCATAATCCCTTTTCCTAAAGCTTTTTAGGTGTCTTGGCTAGTATTCAGGGAGGGCTTGGTTTTAAATTTTTTTGGAGTCTAAAGTAGATATTCTTCTCAAGCATAATCCCTTTTCCACCAGCTTTTTAGGTGTCTTGGCTAGTATTCAGGAGAGGTCTCTACTCTGGCAGGGCTCAAAATCCAATTTTCCTGACATTGCTTTTCTTCCATCATTTCTTGAATCGGTTCCACACTTATTCCTATGGCGGTTAGTAGTAACTGGTAGATCTTGAGTGTCTTGCCTTGCACACATGCACAGTCTAGCACTCACTCACTGTCTTTTGTAGAATTTCTATAAGGAACCTTTTATCCAAAAACTATCTTAATCATTTTTCCATCTCTACGACCCAATACACCACTCCTTACAGGAAGACAGGCTCATTTTGGCTCAAAGTCTTGGTCCATGATCACTGGCTCCAAGGCAGAAATGGTATAGTAGAAGGGCCTGGGCAGAGGAAAGTTGCTCAGCCTGTGGTAGCCAGAAAGCAGAGAAATAAGGAAGGAGTCGGGGACAGGAATATGCCCTCCCAGGTCATGCCCCAGTGCTGCCCCTGTAAACATGCCTCACCTTCTACAGCGCATTCGGCTACTGAACCTCTCAGTGGATGAATCAGCTGATGAGTACAGCACCCCATGATCTTCCACATGTGAGAATTTGGGGGGACATTTGGGATAAACCATAACAATTTCTGAAGATCAGACATGTGTGCACCACCTTGTTCTGTCGGCCTTGCCTGTCTAAGATTGATTTTAATTCTCTAGCATGTATATCTTATTTTATTTGGTTAATGGCTGTTACTGTATTAAAATCTTTTCATATCTTTAGATCATTTCATAACAATACTTGAAGATACTTTACCCTCTTCCATGCTAAATTAATAAAAGTTTGTTCCTTTATATATATATTTAATTCAGTCTCTTCATTGTTTCATTCACTGCTTCCCTACTTGGTCAGAAATTATAACTTGCTACTTGAGGATATGTAAGTACTATACCACTAATGATGCTATGAAAGATGTATTTGGGAGATTTTTCTTCTAGTGCTTACAGAAACCATAGAATCTGAGCACTGAAGAACCCATATCAGACATTTCTCCCTGTCTTGTCATTATCACTTATGAGAGAATTAATGCCTACATGGCTTAAATAAATGCTAAAGATTATACAGCTTATTAGTAAGACCATAATGCTTAGTACCCAAATGTCAAGGTGAACTTGGGCCATATTTCACATCTTTGGATATAAGTTACTCTATATCCTATCAACCTCTCTTTTTCTCTTTTACCCAAGTATTCCAGAACAGTTAGAGCAGCAGCTGTATAAAAGTCCTTTCAGAGTGGCGGTCAGTACAGGGAGAAGAAGCCTTTTTGTTCTTTCCCTTTATCCTACCTTCCTGTGCTTGAGAGACTCTTCAGACTAAGAGAAAGTAAAAGGATCACAGTGGTAGTTGAAATGAGTTTTGACTGCTCAAAAGGATACTGCTCGTGTTAACTGTGGGGAAAGTCTCTTTATTGTTAAGCTCAGGCTTATTTCTCAGGCACAGGAAAAATCGTATTGGTCTCTTCGTGTAGAAGACTTAAGGTCTCTACCTTTGTTCTTTGCTTCTCGTTTTCTACTGTCGCTTCTGCTGACCTTCTTAGTAATTATGATGCTCATTCACCCTTCAGATTTACACTCGTTTTCCCAGCTTCTTACCTTCCTCCATGCTTCCAAGAAAAAAAGCACATTGACAGTTTTTCTGTGTTAGTAGAGTTACTACTGTGGGTGAAAGGCATTATCATCAGCAGCGCGCAGGAAGTTTTAGTTCCAAGAAATAGGACTTTTTTTCAGTGAGTGTGTTTGGTTTACAGTGTACATGTGTGGTTCAGTTCTATTTGAGGGCCTATTGAATTCTTTCTGTTCATTCATGCAATGATTTCCTAATCAAAGCCACAGGCTCCTACACTAACATGTATACTTTTAACTTTTGTGGTTTTATAGAAAATAAAGGACTCTACTTTTGAAGACTGGAAGAATATTCGAGGCCCAAGGCCTTGGGAAGATCCCGATCTCCTCCAAGGACGAAATCCAGAAATCCTTAAGACTAAGACAACCTGACTATGCTCATTCCTTTTTTAAAAATGTTATCAACAGGACATATTGGTCCAGAACATACTGGACATAAAATCCTAGGACGGTAGAAAACTGGTTGTGAGTAATTTGATAGAAGATAAACTTGATTTTAAAAAGTCAAGTATACAGGTCTTTGTATTTCCCAGCTAGTCTACTTGCAAATGAGAGTAACAGTCTTGACAACATAAAAAATGTCAACAAAAATGTGAGTATGGTTATCAAAGTGTGTTGTGTATCATTGTGACCAGCTACTAGTGCAGCCTTTTGCTGCTTCATTCTGATTTCTAATAAAGGTAGTAGGCTGACATTCAGATTCTCACAGTAAAACTGAGCAGTCATTTCATGCTAAGCTTATGTAGGAAAGTATTCCTGATCACTGTCCAATGCTGACATTATTTGTAATACACCATAGTGTGCAAATCGGCCTCTAAAGCATCAGCTGATGAGTATGTTGATGCCATGTGTACACATGTTACCAATGTTAAGGAAATAATATTCTCTGTTAAAAAATAATGTTAAAGAAATATAATTCCCTGTTAAGCCAAAAGTAATGAAGTAATACCTGATTGTAAGGTGATACAGCAAATTATTAAGGTAATTCACAGATAACTGCTACTTAGAAAAAGCTTATTTAAGGTATGCTTTATACCTCAGCATAATTTGCCTACAAATTTATTCTAGCTTTTTGTTTGGTTGGTTGATTTTGGTTTTTAATTTTAGGTTTACCATAACCTGATTCCTAGTAAAAGAAAGAAAGTTCAGTTTTTGTGGGTTGCTTTTTTTAAAACTCATTTTCTCCTTTTTACTCTGCTGGACAGTGTTGAACCCCTAGTTTCTGGTACTTTTATGCTTAATTCTAAATGCATCATCTGTCAAATAGTTGTGCTACAATTGCCAAAAAATCATAAATCTGGCCCACTTTTACCCCATACTGTCAGCAGATTACTTCAGTAAAGAGTCGAGTAAACTGATTATCTTGTAGTAATAATTTGTGGTAGAGATGATTCATGAAACTTAATTATCTGGAAGAATGACAGGTTTTATTGGAGAGAGAGATTGATCGATTGATTCACCCAAACCTCACTGCTACAAAAAAGTAACTCAAAAGTGGATCATAGATTTAAATGTAAAAAACTTTTGAAAGTCCTCTAACCTAGTATTTAGTTCATACTAAATATTTAGCTCATCCTAATATTCAGTTCATACTAAATACTTGCAAAAATGAAGAAGCAACCTACAGAATGGGAAAAAAATTGGCCAGCTACTCCTCAGACAGAGGACTAATACCTAGAACATATAAAGAAAAAAATGAGAACCGAATAAACAAAAAACCCAATCAAAAAATGGACAATCAAAATGAATAGACATGTCTGAAAAGAAATACAAATGGCCAGTAAGTACATGAAAAAAGAGTTTATCCTCTTTGACCATCAGGAAAATGCAAATCAAAATAACACTAAGAGTCAGTCTCACTCCAGGAAGAATGGCTGTTATCAAAGACTCAAAAACAGCAAATGATGGTGAGCTTGTAGGGGAAAAAAAACCCTTCTACAGTGTTGGTGAGAATGTAAACTAGTACAAGTACTATGGAAATCAGTCGGAAATTCCTCAAAAAACTAAAAATAGAATTTCCATTTGACCCAGCTATGTTCCTTCTGGGTATCTTTCCAAAAGAGTTGAAGACAGTATTTTACAGTGACAGTGCATAATCATGTTGATAGCACAACTCTCAATAGCTACACCTTGGAAACATTCTGTATCCACATCAACAGATGAATGAGTAGAGAAAGTGGGATACATGGAGTATTCCTCAGCCACAAGGAAGGATACATTTGAGTCATTTGTAGGAAAATGGATTGATCCTGAGTCTACTGTGTTCTGTGAAATAAGTCAAATGCAGAAGGTTAAATAGAAATGCAAAATAGAAATAAGGAGTCAAGTTAAAATAGATGATAGGAGAGAAGTAGGTAGACTTTTTGGAGATGGAGAAGGAGATCTGGGGAAGGAGAAAGAACTGCAAGAATGGAGGATAACAAAGACTGAAAAAGGATCAGATACAATATATAATTATATGTAGTACCTGAGCAAAACAAATGTGGTTATTATATACCACAAACATATACTAATAAATTTAAAAAATAAAAGCTGCTACAACTCCTTGGGCCATTGGTTAGATCAAAGAGATGGTATTTGGGGGGAGGACCACCACTTTGAATCAGGATAAAGATCACCAGTAAAAAGAGGAAGTGTGATGGCGTTATCAATAATAAGTAAATTTGAAAGGAATGTTATCTTCCAAACGGTACTTTTACATTGTGCCAGCATGGCAATTTAGGCAAGCATCTCAGTTTTGGAGGTTGGTCATCATGCATTCTTACCTCTCCTGCAGTGACTGGCAGCGTGTGCTTATTGATATGCTGGAAGACCCTGAGGTCCTCACTGCACCAGATGACAGAAGGTTTCAATTTGTAGCCTGCAGCGTTACCCCTAAGAGGACTGCCTTGGTTACTTTTCTCTCACTGCTGAGACAAAATACCTGACACTGAAAATGATGGAAGGAAAGGTTTATTTAGCTCACAGTCTGTGGAAGTTTCAGTCCATACTCGGCTGGCTCCAAGCCAGAGTGGCACATGGCAGAGGGTAACCGTTCTTGGCGCAGAAGACAGCAAAAGCAACAAGAGCAAGAGGGATAAGCGGTGGCAAGCAGCCTCTTTCCCTCCCTTACACTGTATACAAACTACCTGCCCCAGGGCGGGTATAGCACTCACATCCATAACTCCAGCATTGGACCATGGATCCGGCATAAACTCTGGAAGCCCATCCCATGACTGCATGAGGCTTTAGGGGGACATCCAGACACAAACCATAACAAGGACTGTTACTCCATCCTCTAAAGCCTTGAAAGCTAACATTGACTTGGCCTTCTCATGGGTGAAAGTCTTTCAGGCATCTCTTTTCAGAACTGCCAATTTTCATCCATATTAAAGTTTTACTCTGGTATGTAATTTTTGTTCACAATCAGCTTATGAAGAGTTTCCAAACTCTTATTGCCTTTACATCAGCATATGTAGGCTCACCACTCACTTTCACATTACTGAATGGATGATGCTTGAATCATTTAAAACTACCTATAGTGAACATTAAATTTAACATTGTAGTTGAGTCCAGACTTTCTTTTTAAGAATAGGAAAACTTATTGGAGCATAGGAATAGGTCCTGAGAGACAGGAGGGGTCCCAAATGGGTTGTCCCAGCCTTTCTTTTAACATGGCAAAGAAGCTTTGCATTTGGCTGTGATCATACTAAGAGGAATGGGCTATTGTGTCTGGTCTTCAATATGGGTCATTAGAAGTTTCTACATATCTAATATGGGTATATCTCCATATTGATGTGAAGATATCTCCAGATATTAGATATCTTAAATTTTTGTTAATTTCATTGCCTTAAATGAAGTATATCCTTTCACAGCTATCACATTCGTGTTCTTCAGAATCACAGGTGTAGGGGCTGGGGATTTAGCTCAGCAGCACAGCACCTGCCTGGCAAGCGCAAGGTCATGAGTTCAATTCCAGATACCAGAAAAAAAAAAACCCAAAAAATCAAAATCATAGGTGTAGGGAAATGAGACTTTCCTATCTGGAAAGTAATAATCATCACTGATTTACTACTTTCATGGGCTACTTTCATTTTCATTTCTGGTCAAATATGACTTCTTACAACAGCAGTAGATTTTGTATTTTTGAAGCCATAGTGAACACACTGATACTAAAGGCAAGCACAAGCATTTATGATCCAATCAAGAGACACAGTAAACTGAGATCATGTAGCTACTGCCAGTGTAGCACAACATACTGCTTTATAGTAAGATTATAAGTAGAAGGAATACACTCTAAAATAATGATCAAAAGTATAGTATGGTCAGTACATGAATCATTAACATAGTCATTATCAAGTATTATGTTCTGTACATAATCATATGCTATTCTTTTATATGACTGGCAGTACAATGAGTTTACACCCACATCACCACAAGTATATAATGTGTCACACTACGATATCATAAAGGCTGCAGTGCCACTAGTCAGTAGAAAAATTTCAACTTCATTATAATTTTTGGGACTAAAGTCATATATTCGGTCTGTTCTTGACTAAAATGTTATTTGGTGGTACATGACTCTTGTCTTGGTTACTTTTCTCTCGTTGCTGGGACAAAATACCTGATGCCCAAAATTAAGGAAGGAAAGGTTTATTTCACTTACAGTTCGTGGAAGTTTCAATCCGTACTTGGCAGATTATAAGGCAGAGTGGCACGTGGCAGAGGGCTGCATCTCAGGGCGGCAGCACAGCAAAGCCGCAAGCACCCACCAGCGCAGAATGGGGGAGGAATGCCCTCAAGCACTCTCTTCCTCTCCCTCACATATGCAAACTATCCACTCTAGGGCGGGTGCAGCTCTCACACCCATATTCAAACTCTAGTAGCCTGCCCCATGTCCGCATGAGGCATTGGGGGACACACAGACATAAACCATAACAACTCTATTCTTTTTTTTTGGTACCAGGAATCAAACTCGGGACCTTGCGCTTGCCAGGCAGGCACTTCTACCACTGAGCTACCTCCCCCACCCTCTATTCATTTTTAGAGGCCACCCTCATTCATAGCTTATGAGTTTCCCCTCTCTTCACAAACACTAGTAGCAAGTTCAGTGTATCTCACATCACATCACTCTGACCTCCACTTCTGCCTCCTTTTTCTGCTTTTCTGGACCCCTGTGATTACACCAGGCCCACCTCAACAATCCAGAATGAACTTCCTGGTTTAAGGTCAGTTATTAGCAACCTTAATTTTATCTTCACGCTTAAATCCTTTTTGCCAAAAAATAACATGTTTACTTTCCAGGGATTAGAATGTGGATGTCTGTCTAACATAAACAGATTTTTATTATCTTGGAGAGTACTTCAATAATGATATAAAACTACCTGCAAGTTACCACTTAATCCTTAGATTCTTTTCAAAGTGAATAATATCCAAAGCATTATGAAACAATAGATCTTAAATAGTATTCTCCACTTACCATATCGGCAAATTTGATAGTGTATAATAAAAATGTGTGAAATATGCATATTCATTCAGTGTTGGTATGAATTTGATATAAATTTGATAAATACATCAAAATCTAAAGTGACTGTTGTAGAGGACTGGCCTATACCCCAGCCAGTCTGTTAGTTTGTCATCCTGACCCACAGGTGAACGAGGATAACAGACAGACACAGAGTCAATATGTGGGCAGCCAGGGGGCTCTTATTTTGGGGATGATTGGAAATGCCATTCATCTGTAAAGACCTTTTAAACACACTTTGCTACTTATCAAAAGGTCTGTGTGCAACAGAGCATCTGGCTCATCTTATTTTTATTTACTTAGTATTGGTATAAGCAATTAAAGTAACACGAGATTCATCTGCCTTTTCATGTCTATCAGCATATGTTTAGGTTTACAACTTAATCTCAGCTGTATAGACTTTTCTTCAGAACCTGCTTGGCAAGTGCCATCTCCCCTGCATGTTGCCTTTCTCCTTTGTGCTTACAGAGGAGGCCAGTTAAGCCTCAATTCTTCTTAACTGGTCTCCCACATACTATCAATTTTTGCCTAACATTTCCACCTCTGTGAAGTAAATGTCAAATATTCTTTACAATATTGTTTGTAATTTTGAATAAAAGAAAAAAGGTGCTGATCTATAAAAATATCTCTGTATATATAAATTATATCTTTATGTTAAAATAATAGCCTTTTCTTTCACAGGTGTAGGTGGAGGTCTTCTAGTTCTGGCCTAAATGAAATATCCCCATTTCTATGTAGTATTTCCTCTTACAACTGAAAAACCCTGGACATAACAGCAGACAAATGTCAGAAGATTCTGGAAGGTGGGAAGCAGATGGAAGACTGCCTAAAGAGTTCATAAAAGTGAATTAAGAACTGAGATGTAGTAGTCACCTGAACTCTGGATAATATTTTCTTCATTTCCTGTTGAATACAGACCTTTTGATAAGTAGCAAAGTGTGTTTGAAAAGTCTTTAGGGATGAATGGCAATTCAAATCACCACAGGTCTCCGAACATTTACTCCTTAGTTTTGGAATTGATGCACTTGTGGACAGGATGATTGAAAACTAGATAGCCTTTGGGGAATTCCAGGCTTCTAAGGACCTATTGTTACTATAAAACTGTTGCTGTGGAAGTAGGTAAGAAATATAGCCATTTTTATTAAAAATTCTGTAGTTTCACTTGAAAGGCATTAACATGGTGACATGCCTGGCTTACATAGCAGTTACTAAGGAAATCCTTTTGAAAGTAGTGGAATTTGGAAAGCTCAGCAGGTAACAGAAGGAACAGGAATTTTGGAAAAGAAAGATACGTAGAATGGAATATGGGCCTCTTACACAGGGTATGCTAGGGCAGGGAAAGCAAGTGGTCACAGTGAAATGGGTCTTCTTGGATCTCTTTATTCATTTCTATCCTCTGTCTATTCTTTGGAAATACAATGATTCACTTTGGGATGATGCTGGGAATAAAGTATTTTCTACAGGATCTCTACTTTTTAAATACATTGAATTCTATTATGCATTCTTCACAAAACGATTCTCCAAAATTTGTTGTACCTGCATCCTACTCTGCCTCGCCCAGGTTTCTCTATGCTTCCTTATTCCCATCCTTTTCCCGATAGTTCTGCTATTGAGCAGCAGCAGCAACTCTGCTTTGCCCAGGTCCAGATCTAGCATCAATGTCTTAGTTACTTTCTCATTGCTGCAACAAAATACCCAAAGGTTAAAGGAGGGGAGGTTTATTTTAGCTCACAGTTTGTAGAGGTTTCAGTCCATAGTTGGCTAATTCCAAGGCAGGGCAGCATGGCAAAGAGGAGAAACAGCCCATGGCAGGGCAGGCAGGAAGCAGCAAGCCGTCAAGAGAGGAGGGAGCTCTAGGCTATAATCACAGTGATCCACTTCTTCCCACCAGACTTCCCTTTCCAACATTACACCCCAGTATAAACCCATTATCACACTAACTCAGTTTGACACACCCATGATTCAGTATCACACACTTGGTACCCAGTCACCTCCCAAAAGCCCCAACTATGAGCACATGAGGCTTTAGGGGGACATCCAGACACAAGCCATCACAGTCAGTGCCCAGGATCTAACTCTGGTGGCATTGGTGACATTAACTGCAGTGTCTGGGCCTGCAGCAGCAGTGTCATGTCTGCCGGTGGACCATCTGTAGAACTCAGCTTTCCCCTGCGTCATAGTCACCGTGGTTAGCCCTTTGACCTTACCAGATTTTGTGAGCAGCTTAAAATTACCCAGGATCAGTTCCATACTTATAAGAAAGAACCAAGACAGATATAAACATTTATAAAAGCATCAGCTATGTAACAGGACCTCATGCTACAAACACAACAAGACATAATCCTTTCTAGGAAGGAATTCACAGTAGAACTGGCAGAAGTTGCCAGTTAACAAGATCACAGGATTTCCACCATCAACAGAGATAGACTAGATAATGCAAATCAAACTCTGAGAAAATTAGGTAAAATTGATTATTAAAAGTCTGCTTGAAGATGTACTAAAACAATAATTAGCAAGGTGAGAATGTAGAGGAGTCCAGAGCTTTGAGTGTAGAATTTGGTGCTGATTTCCCCTGGAGGTTTCTCCAGTTTGGGAAGAGATGCTGAGAGATGGAGCAGTACTTACGACGTTGTTGCAGGGAAAAGGAAAAAAAAGTGGAAATCCAGGGTTCCCCCCAAAGAGAAACCCGGTAAACTACCGTGGCTTTTGTTTGGGAGGCCAGGGAGCTGCACATTCATTCATCTATAGTCTTGTGTCCCATGATGTTTTAGTGAGTGATGGGCTACGTGTAGGACAGTAGTCTCATAAGATCCTAACGGAGCTGAGAAATTCCTATTGATGTTGTAATGTTGTAGTGCAACATGCCACTTACAGTTGTAATGATGCTAGTATAAACAAACCACTGCCAGGTGTGGTACTAACTATAGCACATACAGTTATGTATGGCACATAATACTTGATAATATTAGTAAAAGACTGTTACTGATGTATGTGTTTTCTATTTAATCAGTGCTTTAGGGTATACTCCTACTTATATTAAAAAATTACTGTCAAGTAGTTACACTGGCAGCAGCCTCACATATCTTATTTTTTGCCCAGTCACTTGATTGCCTCAAGAGACTATGGTGAGTGAGAGTCAAGAGTGTCTAGGTTTGTGCTGGTAAAGTTTGCATAATAATGAAGCCACCTAATGACACATTTCTAGAATATATCAGTGTTGTTAAGCTATGTGTCTCTATTTTCTGTACGTTGGGTGGCTACTAAATGATGGGCCACTGAGCCAGGTGCCGGACCCACAGAAAACTAGACACATTCCATGTTCTCCAAGAACTCTCAGTCTTGTAGGGAAGAGCAGATGTTTGAACCAGTGAGTACAGTTGACATTGCGGGGCTTTGTGAGACATTAGGACACTGCATGGGGGGAGACATTAGGACACTGCACTCTTCCTAAAGGAGGAAGTGGTCGGTTCTCTTAGGAACTAATCTTGCGAAGGGATTATGTTGTATTCAGGAACAGGACCAGCATGAGCAACATTGCGGAGCCAAAAGTCTGTTGTGTTGGGGAACTTTATCATCTGTTAGTAAGTGGCTGATACGAAAAGCAAAATCAGATGCCTGTTCTTTGATTGTGTCTTTATTTGGGGGAGTCTAATTTTTTTAAGTTCTTTGTATATTCTAGATATTAGGCCTTTGTTTAAGGAGCAGCTGGCAAAACATTCTTCCCATTCTGTAGGTTGTCTCTTCACTTCACTGATGATTTCCTTTGCTGTGAAAAGCTTTTATAATTAATGTGATCCCATCTGTTGATTCTTGGTATGCTATCTTGTGCAACTGGGATTTTATTCAGAATGTCTTTGTCTATTCTTATGTCTTTGAGAGTTTTACCTATTTTATCTTCCAACAGATTGTTTCTGTTCTAATGTTTAGATCTTTGATTTATGTTGGTTTTACTTTACTGTATGGTGAAAGATACAGGTCTTGGTTCCACCTTTGGCATGTAAATAACAGTTTTCCCAGCATCATTTGTCAAAAAGGCTCTTTTCTCCAGTAAAGGATTTGGTCCCTTTGGCAAAGACCAATAACTGAGTGTGCCTTGAGTTGTTTCTGTGTCTTCTATTCTGTTCCATTGATCCACGAGTCTGTTTTATTGCCAATACTATGCTGTTTTTTTGGTTGTAGATTTGTGGTATAACTTTAAGTCTTGGATTGTGTTGTCTCCTGCCTTCCCTTTGTTTCCCAGAATTGCTTTTGCCTTCTAGTTCCATATGAATTTTAGGACTGCCCTCTCCAGTTCTCTAAGAAATGTTATTGGTATTTTGATTGGGGTTACATTAAATCTGTACAGCACTTTTATAAGTATGCCCATTTTAACTATAGTGGTTCTGCCTCACATCTCAGCTTGGACCAAGTAAGAGATACATGCGTGTAATAGCTCAGATCAAATGTTTATATACATAAACACCCCTGAAGAAGGCCACTTAGATCCTTATAGAGGCAAAACTGGAGTTTAAGTGAAAGCATACCAAATTCTGCCTCTCCTTTCTCTCACTAATTTTTTTATTCTTGAAGGCCCTGAGTGTAAGTGCTGTCTACAGAAAGATTCTGTACTTCTCTTAGGCAGGAGAGAGAAGGCAAATGACACTGGGGCAGAAAAGCTTGGTGGGGAGGAGAGGCAGGGAAAAATTGAGCACTGACAGCCAAGTTTTGAGGTGTTCTACATCTCCATTTCACTTTAGGCCTTACCTGTGAGGTTGCTTTCTAAACATGGCTGCCATGTGGTAGGAGTAATGAGGCCTTTGAAAAGCAAACTGACATTTATGGCAGAGCGCAAGAAGCTCTCGGAGGTAGGGACTAAATAAAAAGCAGTAGTACATAACCAAGGAAACAATCCAAGTAGCCCCAGCTGAACTTTGTAAGAGGAGGATGGTCAGAACCAGAACTTTGGGTAGAATTGTTTACATATGGATGGTGTCCCTAGAGAGCAATGTGTCAAAGGCTTGGTCCTCAAGATAGCACTCTTGGGAAGTGGTGGTGGGGGGCATACTAGGAGATCTTTTACGTCATTGGGGCCACTTGTCACTGAAGGAAATTGTGGGACCCCCATCGGTCCCATCTGGCCCTGCTTTCTGGCTTATCTTGTGAGTGGTTTGTGCCGTAGTGTGCCCCTTGCTTTTGCCAGCTGGTAGCTCACCAGAGCCCCCAGATAACGGATGCACCCATTCTTAGACCGGACTCTCCAGAACCATTAGTGGAATAAAACCTTTGTCTTTGCTAGTTGATTGCCTCAAGCATTCGTTTTGGTAACTCAAAGATGACTAACATTTGTGAACTTGCAGATGAAAATTAACTCAAAGTTGGTATAGTTGTGTGCATATATATGTGTGTGAATGCAAGAGAGAATGAAAGAGGGTAAACAAGCTGAGGTGATCCCATCCTTTAAAATATAGCTGAACTGATTTAGAGCGCCACTTCTGCATTACAGAAATTCTGTGGCTTTCTAGAAGAGTCCGTATCCTCCGGCTTTCCACCGACTACACATTCCTGCTCCACTGAATGCGTTCAGTTTCTAGATAATTCCCACACCACGTTTACCAGCCCACCTAAGTTCAGATCTCATTTGCCTCTTGCTGCTGCCACGGACAGATTAACCTCTCTGTGCTTCTGTTTCCTAACTTACAAAATAGTGAGACTATTGCCACTTCTCTTATAGATTTGCATCAAAAGTTATGAAGTAAATTACTATAAAGCACTTATATATGTTGCAGTACGTAAAAAGCTTAGAGCACCACTTGGCACATAAGAAATATTCTTTCATTATAATTATGCTGACCTGATTATTGTGTATTAAACCAGACTGTGAGCTCAGCCTTTTTTCTTTCCACTCAGAAAAGCTCCCCTCTGAAGTGTGTGTGTACAGAAGACTTTGCTAAAGATTA